TTGGTAAACTACAGTTTAGACTGTTTTGTCGCCGTTCTGTATCAGTTTCCTTCATTTTTGGCTTGCATGTTATCTTTTTCAGCGTGTAACTGTACAGCAAACCAAACTCTTGCCAATACTACTTGTGATCCGGTCAGCGGTCAGTGTAAGTGTGATGTTAGTGAAGCAGGAGGTCGTTATGGGGGCAGACAGTGCGATACATGCGCGAGGAGAACTGTGGGTAAGTGCGTTACCAAGAATGATACAGTAAACTGAGAACGAACGATTCATATTTTAAGATTTTGACGACTTGATGTAGGTTTTGTTCCTCAACTGAATAATTTATGCGACAACAATCTTTAGACCTTCCGGTTGGAGTTTTTGTGGTCTGTTCGATCTAATTCCGGAAGACTCAGTCCGATTTCAGGCGATTCCGTTTGGCCGTGGACTGTCACGTCCGCTATCGGACGGTTCTGTAGGCCTCGGACATTTCCGTACGATATCGGTCGGTTCCCCATGATTTCGAACATCGTAGTCCGATCACGGACGGCTCCGTTAGTTATCGGACCTCATCTACGATCCAAGTCTTTTTGGATCATTACTTTTTTGAAGTACTCCCAAAACATCAGCAGGTCTAATTGACTTAGGAATTGAGGTTGTATAAGACAAAGTTTGAAGGAATTTTTTTGGGTATTCGAATTACGTCGGACCTCATTTTCCAGAAGTAACTGTTCATTTGTTCCCCTTACTGTCTGTTATTCATTTCTTCATGATCCTGCGCGTCTAGAGTTTTTGACTTAACACTTGTCTCCTGTCTGCTCTATACTGTTTTGATATTATTATGAGAAATTACTTAATATTAGTTACTTTAGGGAGGGAAAGGGTAATGATATCTGTCTGCTGTATAATTGGGGCTTAGGGCTGAAAACGTTGGTTTGGTTTCTCTTTTCCAGGGAGCCCTCCCAAGTGTTATCCGTGCACCGAAGACTGCTACTTGAACTGGGAAAACACGATATCCAGAGAAACTGACAGAGTCAACGAGCTTTACAGTAACGTTACTGAACTGCTTGAGTCGTTTGGGAGCATGTCGGTGGATAGCATCAACAGCACACTTCAGAAGTTGAAAAAGAACGTGACCTATGCGGAAGAGATATTCAGCAGCGGTGGAAAAGAGGATCTGCAAAAGAAGCAGCAGCAAATTAACAGGGTAAGGAAGGGGAAAGTGGCTTCATGTTTTGTAACTTTTACTGAGGATTGTTTTAGATTCCAAGTCTTGTTTGTCGCTTTCGAATCAGTTGCAAATCTGTTTTTCAAAATAATACGATTTTAGAGGTGTTTGTGGTCAAGACCATTTGACGGCAATTAAATGATGAAAGAGTCTCGCTTCTTTTTTCTATACCTGTAGATCAGCTTTGCCATAATTTCTTTCAATTTTATCTGTTAAAGAAGGCCAACTCAAAGACTGGCGACTCAAATATAACGCGAAGAGTGTGCGATAAGTCTATGAGCTTAATTTCCAAGGGATTCCTTGAGGACGTATTACATTTAAACTGGCAACTTTCACTCAGAAGCTGCAGCGCATTTGAAGAACATTTTTTGTCTTTTTTGTAGATTCAAAACTCTATAAGCTCTCTCCAGCGTCAGCTGAACGAATCTAAGAGTTTGATTGAAGACGCTCAGACCTACATTTCAAAGGTGATTAACTTTAACGGAAGTGTCCCAATAATTCCCGCCGATCCAATGATGTACTCCTCATCCCCTGAAGTCTGCCTCAGTGGGGGAGGTGCGATTGTGATCGTGGACTGGAAGTGTATTGAAGCCATGGCAACGATCTACCGCCTGCGTGCGATGGAAGCTAATGAATCAGGACATGCAAACTACTCGAGTATTCAAAGTAGTTACAGTATGGTAAGTTACATGTGAATCAAGACAAGATGTACATTCTTGCGATTTAGTAATCTCGCTTTGGTCACTACCCAGGATCGCAGAGTTGTTTGTTTGGAAAAGCCGGTTCCTCACCCTTCCCTAATTTTTGAATGGTGCTTCTGAATTTTGAATTGACCCTGACTAAATGTTTGAAGTGAATTAGGGGTTGAGTTAACTTACGGTAGTCCAGCATTCCATCCAGGGAGGGGTAGCGTTGTTCGTAATCACTCTTTGCTAAGGAAATCAGAATATTCTCTCGCTCTGCGTGCCGGTTGGACCCTGTGAAACGTTTGCCCTTCCGATGCACCTTTGAACTTTCTCAAGTTAACGTACTCCTATTTCGAAGACGAACATTATGTAGAAATTGGAGTCAAAATAAAAATCGTTTAATTTTGGAGTGGCACTCTTAAAGGTAATTGGAACATGACTCTTACTCTGTGATTCATATGTTTTGAACGATTTGATACCCGATCAGTGGCTCAATGCAATTTTTTTCCTCTTGACATGCAGATTCAGCAGGCGAACTCCACAGCTTACCATGCAGCTATGCAGATCAGAGATTCTCTAGAAAAACTAAACCTCGTTACATTTGTCAGAAAAAAAGTAGAATCGGACCTTGGTGATACCTTTCAGACCTTATACCGTAATAACTCCATGCGACTTGAAGAAATCAGCAAAATCAACGAGATTTTTCAGGCACTGGTGAAAGAAGCGGAAATTATTGGAGAACAAGCAAACGGCAATTTGACCATGGCTGTGGAAAACGCAAATCGATCAAAGGATCTAGCCGGTCAGCGGAAGAGAAAAGCTCAGAGCGCGCTGGACAATGCCACCAATGCACACTCAGATACTTTGCAGGCCAGTGGTGATGCAAACAACGCGTTAAAGACAGCCATGGGGTTTAAAGTGAGTAAGAGCTTTGAGAGTAGTTGTTCTTTTGGTGCGAGTTCTTTATGTGAATGATATCTTGTGCAGTGTAAATATTGGGCGTGGCTTTCACGGTGTTTCTCTCTCTACTTGTCATGGACTAGAGTATTCTGAAAAGCTTCACGTAGTCAGTTTTCTGGTTAGCGAGGGAAGCGTGGGTTGTTTTGACGAATGCGTTTAGAAGGGAGGTCCAGGAAGGCACAAAAATATTGTCGGAACAATACACACTAAGCATGTTTCTTGTCCTCATGATATCAACGCTGGCGTAATCTGGGAAAAATTTGATTAGAATAGAGGAACTCGTCAAAAGTTTCCCCGCCTCTTTTTTTTCCAATTTTAAAACTGCATTTTGACAGTGCGCTCTTCCATCAATCATGAGCCAAAAAGTTAACTTTGCTCACATCTAACGTTACAGGAAAACGCTACAATGGTACTCCAACAAACACAAGATGCTATCAATAACGTATCTGCAGGAATCAACACCATAGCCAGGGTTAATAACATGACAAAGGAAGCGACGAAAATTGCAAATGAAGTCCGTGCCATGAACATGCCTGTGAGTCTGCAACAGATCCAAAACCTTACTGATGAGATTCTGAACACAAATGTTAGCCAAGCAATGGTGAACCAGACTCTAAAAGCTGCACAAAATGGCCTGGAACAGGCACGAGAAGTGGAAGCCCTCTCGCAGAGAGCCATGTAAGTTTAAGCCCAGGATTACATGTCCAAGTGCGAAGCGGCCTGGCTTCTTGACCATGTAGATACTCGGTCTCCTGAGCGCCTATTAAAATTCCTTGCGTGACATCCCGAAAAATGGCTTCAAACGAAACTAAATGGCAGTCAAATACTATATTTTGCCACAATTTTCAAATTCACTCGTCGATTGCGCTGTTTTCTATGTTTTATTATTGTCGCTTATGTGTGTTCCTTTTCCTTTCTTCCGCAAAGTAATGTTGCACAGGAGACTCTAAATCAAGTGCAAGGGATTGAAAAAGCTATGAACTCATCAGAGCACATTCGACAGCAGGTCATGTCTCTGCAGCAAGAAACTGATGGAATGGTTGCTGACATCAATAATATCACACAAACGGTACGAAAAAAGAACCGCAATAGTGCGCGACGCTATTGTCATCTTCTGGGTAATTTTGGCGCGTAAATGCCGCTTTGTATGAGTTCGAAAACTGGGACGAGTAGACTTTTCCTTTCCAGCGGATTATTTAACAAATGCTGAAACGTAAACGTCTCTTTGTGTCCTCAGTTTTCGCATCACGAATTGTCTTTTTTTGCGACGGGAAAATTGTCTTTTACGTGTGGTGGTGTTTCAAACTGTTATTTACAAACTGATCTCCTTATTTCCTGACTTTCATTTAACGAAATTTCCTGTTCATATCGATATGAATCTTCAGTTATGAATAAAAAGTGTTCCTGTTTTGTAATTGCTAAATATTGTCTAAAGAAACGGGCTAATTATTGCCTGAGGGAAGCAGAAGCGGAATTTTATTCCTGCATTTTCATTTTGTTATTTCTCGGCGAGTCAAGTATGTAGAGTCCAGGTGGCGGTTGGCGCTTGTCACCATGCCGACCGACAAAGATGCCTTCTCTTTCACCAGAGACTGATTAGCGTATGGCTTTTGTTCGTTGTTGCTTGGCCGAGGCTGCTGTTCACCGTACATTGCATAATAAAGCGCGCGGTTAGTGTCAATAAGGGGATGAATTCTGAGTTTAAAACGGTGGTGATTCTTTCCGTTCTTGTCAGGTTGAACATCGTTTCTCGGCGTCGTACTCCTCAGGAGAGAGTTTACTAACGAAGATAAACAAAACCCTGGACGATATAGAAAAAGGATTGAACTGCTTTGATACTGCGAAGACCGACGCACAGAATGCATCGCACACAGCTGAAATGGCCTTTAATATCTCTAAGCAAGCGAAAGAGGTAAGTATCTTACGAGTTCTAAGTTTCTTATACTAGACTGTCACCATCTTTGGTCTGTAAGCAGTTCGTTAATCATTTTTGTCACTGATCCACTGACTGGGGCGATTCGAATCCATTCGGTCCAAATTACTGGA